ATCATTAAAAAATGTACTAGTTAGCTTAGTATGAGGCATACCATAATTGAAGTACTTCAGGTCCATGTATCAGATAAGACAAATTTGAATTCAATAATTTATTTCTTAATGATCTTAGGCTCGCTATTTAATTTCTCCCATTAAAGCGTTTGTTTCAACATTTGTAAGCAAAAAACAAAAGTAAAAAAAAAAAAACAAAAAACAAAAGTCATTTGGTCCCTCAAATATTTTTATGAAGCTTTCAATTATCCTCTAATGTTTGATTTAGCATCATATGGACTTTGATCAAGATAATTTTTGTATCGTTGGGCTTGACTTATCAATATATGTATAGATTTGATTTCAGTAATGCTTCATTTGGGATATCTTTAGACTATTGTTTTTCCGTTGCTTTCATAAATATTTGTGCTAAAAAATTGATGTAGAAATGGGTAAGAAAACTATTTCAAATGAACATTAAATTAAATATAATGTATTTTAAATATTTAAAATATTTGATCAGTTATAAAATAATTACAATAAACTATTTATATATTCATTTTACTTCAAATTAAATCAAAATAATAACTTATCGTATTTATTATATAAAAACTGAGCGTCTCGGAAATACGAACCCAACGACACCAAGATCAACCCAATCCGAGCCCAAATGAGTCTGAATCAAGGGCTCAAAGCGCTGTTGGAAGATTCAAACCGCAATTTGAGTTACCAAACGGTCTCCGATTTTAACGAGCTTATACTCGAATCGAGCGGCTCGACGAGACAAATCCAATGAGCTAAAGATCACTGAATTCCGACATTACTAAGGCCTTCAAATGTCCAACGAACGATGCACGATCGAAGGGTTCAATATCGGCCATCCATTCAAACCACTCTCAATTCGCCCATGATCTCACACCTATTTACAAGCCATGCCACTCCAGAAAAACTATAAATAGAGCCCTCATTCTACACCAAGGGGACTCAAGTGAAGAGAGAGAAGAAGAAGAGGAGAAAGGGGAAAATGATATTCATCACCTCCTCGACCACCGTCGGAGCTCTTCCTGCCGCCTGAAGACGCCGGAACTCTGCAGGATTTTCGGGAGAATGCCAGAATTCCACCCAACTTCCATGGGATGCTGAAATTCTTCCCAATTTACAAGAGAGTTCCCTCCTGACGCCGAAACTCCGCCCAAGTGAAGCCGGAGTTCTCCTCTGCCACCAAAGACGTTGGACTTCTACCCGACGTCGGACCTTCACTCTTCGCCAAGTTTCTACCCGACGCCGGACTTCTATCGGTTATCGGACTTCGCTGGACGTCTATGCGAAGATGCATTTATTTCATTTGCTGGACTTCTACCTAATGTTGTCCTACCGATTTTCGTCGTCAGACTACAGTCCTTCCGACCTCCGTCGGCAGCCGACTATGGTCCTCCTGACTTACGTCGCCCGCCGACTACAGTCTTTCCGACATCCTTCGCCCGTTGAATACGGTCCTCCTGACTTATGTCGCCTGCAGACTACAGTCTTTCCTACCTCCGTCGCCCGCCGACTACGGTCCTCCTGACTTACGTCGCCTACCGACTACAGTCCTCCGTCGCCAGTTGACTACGGTCCTCCTGACCTACGTCGCACGCCGACTGCAGTCCTTTTAACAAAGCAAATACGTCGATAGTGGCTCTTTTTTCTTACATCATGTAATGTACGCTATAAGATGTACATCAAGCTAAGGCCTTCTCCCAAGGAATGGCCTCATTTGTAATCGACTGCAAATACTAGTGGATTCGTTCAAACTGGGCTAGGCCCTGTGGTTTTTCCCCTTTTACAGGGGTTTTCCACGTAAAAATCTTGGTGTCTCATAAATGCTAGATCTTCTCCCTTATCTGATTGCGTGCCGGATTTTCGTACAATGCTAAGACGTTAAATATGATATTTCTCTATCGCCGCGAATACTCCTGGACGCAACATTTATCTTACTTTGTATGTGCTCTCTCAGTACTTGTAATGAAATAGTCTCTTAATTTTTTTAATTATGGGCGATGATAATTAAAGCTTATTTGGAGCATTCATTTCTCGCAATTAAATGCTACTTGTATGAGCACATTCAATCATTTCACACAAAATCATTATACTATTTTTGTACTAAGCCAATATTTTTATTAAAAAATTTTCCAAAATTTTTTTTTATTAAACCACAAACTTTTTTTTTTTTTGGTAATTTGATAATTTCAGGCTTTTTAATATTTTCTTTCTTATACGAGGCGAAAAAATTGATGCCTATTAAGGACCCCTTTTGCTTTAAGATTGTTGATCAATTGATCGACTTGTGGAAGCTATCAAATATTAAATATTGTTAAATGTAGAGGTTTAAGTTGGCTATAGACCCGAACCCGACCCGGAAAAATCCGGGTTCGGGTCAACCCAAACCCGAAACGGGTCGGGTTCGGGTTGAAGAAATCAGCCTGTTTTAAAAATCGGGTCGGGTTCGGGTTGACACGGAAACACGAAATTGACCCGAAAGTGACACGAAAACTCATATTTGACCCGAAAATCCGAGTTTGACCCGTTTTTGACCCGATTTTGACCCGAAGAACGAAGATTGACCCGATTTTTTACCCGAAAACTTGCAATTTTGGGTCAATTCCGGGTCATTCGTGTCGGGTTCGGATCCGGAAACCTAACCCGTTTTTAAAAACGGGTCGGGTTCGGGTTGACCCGAACAGTACCGGGTCAATTCCGGATTCGACCCGAACCCGACCCGTTGACCCGAATTGACACCCCTAGTTGGCTAGGAATTGATGGCTGCCCTGTAATTTAAATTTATTTGTGGGGTTCTTGAGGTCAAATCATGGACCTTTTCAAAGTTTTTAATTTTTATAAAGTTGAATGGGGTCGTATTGGAGGAAGCAAACGCAGAAGGCGGTGGGATCCTCCTCCTCACGGATCACATCTTGAGTTCTCTTTCCACTATAATTGGTATTCTTGCATTGGTAGAACGGTAGAAGCTTTACAAAAGGAATAAAATTAGGTGTTTATTTGAAAATAATTTCATATAAATAAAATTGGAGAAAAATTACATTTAAAAAATAATTTATCCTAATTTTTATTAAAATTTTATTAAAAATTAGCACTCGCGTTACTGAGTATGAAGTACTTAATGGAAAAGTAGAAGGTTATGTTAGTAAATAATCAACATTAAAATTATCGAATAAATAAAAAAATATTAAAAATTTTATGATATTTATATTATTGTTGCGGGCTAGACTATACGTGGCGATAGAGTTATGATATTACGTCTTAGCATTGTACGAATATCTAGTTCACACACAGAAAACACAAAGTTTTTTACGTGGAAAACTCTGGAAAGGGGAAAAACCATGGGCACTGGCCTAGTCAGAAATGATTCCACTAGTGTTTGGGTAGATTCAGAGGCAGATCTACCTAAAGCCCTGCGGGGGGGGGGGGGGGGGGGGGGCGGCAATTGCCCCCCCCTTAAAAAAAAAAAGAAGTTAGTATATGATTTTTTATGTAATTTGTTCCCCGCCATTTATTTTTTAGTCTTTATTACAAGAATTTTTAGTTAATTGCACCACTAAAAATTTTAAAATACTATGGTCTTTACGCAATTGTCCTAAGCATAATTAAACACATTGTGTAGAAGTTTTATTGTAATGGAATGATGAATCAAATACAAATAAAAATAGTAAAGAGAATCTAATAATATCCTTACAACAAAATTTTGTTTTGAGGCGCTGCCCCCCAAAACCCCATAAGCATATATGCGAAATTTCTACACTTTTAGTTATAAGATTTCCCACCCCCTCCCCCCTCTGAAAATTAAGATTGGTTCCGCCCTTGAGTAGATTACAGTGGGATGACTAGTCCCTGAGGGCGATCAACTTACAAATGAAAATCGTAAGGTTGAAATCTAGTGATAAACATGGATGAGAGTCAAGCATCACTTGGTGGTCTGACAGAAGTCCGGTGTGACTTGGAAATTCGGGCGTTGATTGGTAGTCTGGAGAACTCCGGGGTTACTTGGTGGTATGGCGGAACTTCGAGCGTCAGATGGTGGTCTAATGGAACTCCAAGCGTTAGTTGGTGGTCCGACGAAACTTCGGACATTAGGCGGTGGTCCGGCAAAACTCTGGGCTTCAGGTGGTAGTCCAGTGGAACTCAGTACATTAGGCGGTGGTCTGATGGAACTCCGAGCATCAGGTGGTGGTCCGACGGAACTCTGAATGTTAGGCGGTGGTTTGGTGGAAATCTGGGCATCAGGTGGTGGTCCGGCGAAACTCTAGACATCATGTGGTGGTCTGGCGAAATTCCAGGTGTCAGGTGGTGGTCTGGTAGAACTCCAGACATCAGGTGTTGGTCCGGCGGAACTCCGGGCATCAGGTGGTGGTCCGACGGAACTCCGGGCGATGATCGAGGAGGCAAGGAGGCAATAACGATCTCCAATCTCTTTCTTGTTTCCATATACTTACTACATGAATGTCAAAACTAAAATAATTCATATACTTTTTTTGGTAATTTTTATAGAGCTTATTCTATATTGCCAATCTTAACTCTCGACATCTACAAAATAGAAGGTGATTGGTAATGCATAGACATAAATCCTCATGGGATCATTATATATTGATCTCCACAATTATAATATTATAGAGCTTCTTTCTATACAAAGAATTCGTGTAATTTTGATTTGACATAACCTCTCTCTATACTTCAATCAAGTCTTCGTTAATTTTCAATCAATCAATGAGAATTCTTAATTAATAATTTCTCTCTTTAATCCCTTTAAAGTCAAACTAAATCTACAATAAAATTTTAAGTTCAACATAATCCTGCTACAAAAAAAATCAACAAAACATTCCTAGGAAGAAAGAGTGCGTGCAATGGGAATAGTAGTCCACATCGAATGGCGCCATCCGGCCACACTGGCTGGGCCAGTCACCCACCATGTGAGAAATTCATTCCAGTTATTATTATTTTTTAACAATGGTATTCCTAAAGCTATTCCTTCTGCAGATTTTGCCTTCTCCGCGTCTCCCCTTTGCAGCTTTGCTCCTGCCTAAGGTCCTAACACAGCCACATTTCGATCTTTTTCTTCTTTTCTGAATCAAAATATATCCTTGGTCTATTTTTTAGTCTGGCCTCTTTCCCATCTCCTGATCTCCATTAAAACTCCATCTTCTTCGATAACCCAGCAGAACCCATCTACCTTCCTCGTTGCCCTCTGCTTTGTAAATAGCTTCTCAATCCTTCCGAATTAATCTCCATATTCCTCTTTTTTTCCAAGGATCGAAGGAGAAAGCAGGTAATCATCTTCTCAAATCTTTCAATCCATTTTCAATTCCTTTTTTTGGTTCAAGAAGAGATAGAAGGAGAGAAAGAATCTCGATCGAAGAAGACGATAGAGGTTTAGAAAGAAAGAAAGATGGCACCTAACAGGTTTGCAACCATGCTCCACAGAAACACCCACAGGATGGCGTTCCTTCTGATATACACAGTGTTAGAATGGATCTTAATAGCTCTTCTCCTCCTCAGCGCTATCTTTTCCTATTTTATTGCCAAGTTTGCTTCTTTCTTCGGCCTAAAGCCCCCTTGCATCTTGTGCACGAGAGTCGATCATCTATTCCAGCCTGGCAAGGGCCAGAGCTCCTATAGGGATCTTCTTTGCGATTCGCATGCCGGAGAAATTTCCAAGCTTGGATTTTGCTCCAAACACCGGCGGCTCTCTGATGCCGGCGACATGTGCGAAGACTGCGCCGGCTCGGCATTTGATGGGCCCGATCGGAGCGTTGCTTTGCTGTCGCGGATGAAGCGAAATGAACAGAAGCAGAAGGATCTTCTCTGCTCTTGCTGCGGCGTGGTTCATGAGAGCGGCTTCTATAAAATTCTAAAAATTGAACCTTGGGACGTTTTGGAGTGTGTCCATGACGATAGATCTGTTAAAGAGGAGATGAAAGAGGACAAAGATGGCGCCGTTGGCCAGGCGAAGGCTGAACTCGGGCGAGAGATTCCTTCCGCTCATACTGAAGAGATCGAAGAACAGAAAGCCGAAGGAGGCGAGAAAGAGGGTGATTCGAAAGGCGAGACTTTGATTCCATCTTCTTGTGATGTGATGGAAGACGCGTCGGTGGCGATCTTTGCTCAACCTTTGGAGAAGATAGCTGATGAAGAGCGTCTTCTTCCCATTGAATTAATCGATTCTTCCACCATGATGAGATGTCTTCCTAGAGGGCATGCTGCTGATGGTATAATGCTTCAAAGAGGTGCGGCAGAACACGAATCTGCATCAATTGATATTGGCAAATTTTCAGTGGAGCAAAGTTTTACGGCTTCAAGTGACGACCCTGAAGAAAGGCAAGCCAATCTTGCCACTGACGTGTTAGCCGTTTTGGAATTTGGTTCAAATGCTCATATGGTCACCAATGAACCCTCTGAAGATATTTCATTTGATGATCGCAACATCATTCCTCAAGAAGCTATTGATGTTGAGTTGGGAACGACGATGAATGCTGAAGATTTTGAAGAGCGTCAAGGTAAGAGATTTTTTGTCATTTATGCTCTACAAGTTCTTTTATCTCTTTATGGTTTTCTAATTTGAAGAAGTCCTCTGAATTCTGAAAGATATGTTTTGCCTGCTATGAGCAGCCTGTGAAGAAGAATCCAAAGTGAATGAGGAGGTTAATTGTGAGATATCAATAGGGAGTGACATATGTGACCAAGAACAGATCGAGCATGCTCAAATCCATGAATCAATACCTGAACTAGAATTCCCACAAGATCAAAGTTTGGAGAGCTTCAATGAAAAAAATGATCGAGAGATAGGTATAGCATTCAGTACATCTGCAGTTTCATATACATTTTTTTTTTAGATATAATGCATGTTCTCTAGATTTTGGCCCTAATATTTGCCTCTTGTTTAAATTGGCTCAGTAACTGAAACTGAACCGTTGAAGCGAACTGCTCGACAAGTGAAGCATCTTGCTATATCTCCATTTCTTAATGAAATTGTAGAGGAGGGAATGCCTGAAACTCCAACAACACCATACTCTATTGAGGGATTTCCTGTTTTACCCAAGAGGTTTCTGTTAGAAAGGAGAGAATCTGGGACTGAATCTTTAGATGGAAGCATTGCTAGCGATTTAGACAATATGGAGCCATTGACTTTAGATCGTTTGAAGGCAGCTCTGAAGGCTGAGCGCAAGTCTCTAATTGCATTATATGCTGAACTTGAAGAAGAGCGAAGTGCATCAGCTATAGCTGCCAATCAAACCATGGCAATGATAACCAGGCTGCAAGAAGAGAAGGCTGCAATGCAGATGGAAGCACTTCACTACCAGAGGATGATGGAGGAACAATCAGAGTATGATCAAGAGGCACTGCAGCTGCTCAACGAGCTCATGATGAAGAGGGAGAAGGAGAAACAGGAGTTGGAGGAGGAGCTTGAGCTTTATCATGAGAAGGTTCTCATGTACGAGGCTCTGGAGCGGAGTAAAAAGTCTGGGAGCAAGGAGAAAGGCGGCAGGAGTGGAACTGCATCTGGTTTGTCAAGTTCAGAAGATAGTGATGATCTTTCCTTTGAGTTCTGTGAAGGTGAGGAGAGAATCCCCCATGAGAGAAAGAAGAACACTTCCTCTCCTGATATTTTAAGCTATGTGGAAAATACAAACACATTGGATGGATGTTTAAATGAATTTGAGGAGAATAGACTCTCCATATTAAAGAAGCTCAAAGCATTGGTAGAGAAGCTTTTCAAAATGGATGATGAGGATGACTTCAGTGATCCAGAAACAACGAAACATTGTTGGGTTGAAAATGGCCATGGAGTTAATGGAGAATGCAAACTGCTAAGCGATGATATATACTGTGGATCTATTAATTGTTCTTCATGTGATCTGCAAACTAATGGAAAGCTTCATGGTGAAGAAAGAAGTGCAGGTATTCAAGGAAAAAGTCTTCTACCCCTTTTCGATGCTATCAGCTTAGAAAGTGAAGAGAAGGTAAGCACAAAAGATGATTCAATTGATAGCTACTCACCTGACTCAGTTGCAAAGTTTGCAGTGGGTCACAAGCAGTTAGCTGTTGCTGAGGAGATAGATCAGGTCTATAAGAGATTACAAGCTCTTGAGGCAGACCGTGATTTCATCAAGCATTCTATCTCTTCATTGAAGAAAGGAAAGAAGGGGATGAATCTTCTTCAAGAGATCCTTCAAAACCTTCATGATCTCAGGAGAGTTCAGCTCCCTGCCACCAATTCCGACTTCTAAGTTGACAAGCAGGTACGTATTTTTATACTTTAGGTAAATCCTCATATTTTATTTTCATGAAATTTTTCTACAGGGGCTTTTTGCTTTCTTGTCTATACAATGATGCAAAGGAAATGATTTTTCATATAATAGACCACTCACATATTTGATGTAATATGAAGTGCTAAGATTCACATGGAAGTTGTAAATAATGTCACATCAAGAATGGAGTAATCTGAGTTCCTAATATGTGAGTAATGACGTTTAGTTATTGGCATATGCTTTTTGATTAATGGATAACTGTCAACTAATATATTGGGATCAACTTAGTTTTCAAGTGATTTACCATCCTATCAATCAAGTGGTATCAAAATTGATGGTTCGACAAGTTTCAAGTACTTCATGTAGTTTGTTGCTCCCATAGATCTTATTTGCTTATAATATAATAGAGCAATGTTCAAGAACTTGCGAATTTTTATACAAGATCTATTTGAATGCATTTTGTTATATATCAGTTGATGATGCATAAGATTTGTATTTGAAAGGTGTAATGACCCATGCAAAAGACTCCTATTTGTGGGGTAGAATGTTAAGATCCATATGTGGGGAGGTTGATGAAGGCTCAATTGATCCAAAAGCTTAAACATATAAGAACCACTACCAATAATTTGAAACTCAACTCTTATTCTATTTACAATGTTATATTACTCTCCCTTTATATAGAACTCAACAATCTCCCTTATATGATAATCCTTCATATTAATCACTACTTCCCATCAAATAGAAATTTTTAAACATATTCTCGGCATCATGCACCTATAGACCTACTGAATTTTGTGGTGCCTAAGTGGGAATCACTTGCTTTTGATCTTTTCTCAATAAAGTTAGAAATCACTTAGACCCATCCATAGAAACCACAAACTACATGAAGCGCTTGATTCTAACCAAACTATAAATTTTGATATCACTTGTCAAGTATGGTGGAATAACAACGTCCTAAGATGGGCGTTATAAAATAAGAGATGCACATCAATCCCCCAAAAACTAAAGTTATAACTTATAATATCGGATACCACTATAAGAGCTACGATTATATGCTGAAAAGCTCCAATTTTATTTCACCTTCAATGTATGTTTTAAGGTGCTTGAGAGCATTGGGTTTAGTATTAAATCCAATAGTTGAAAAATATGGTGGTATTAAAATATTAAGTGTTTGGCTCTTATCAAAGGTCTTAATTAAGCTTAGGTTGAAATTTTATTTTATTGCTTATATATTCGGCTTGAATTTAGTTCCCTTTTGATTTAAGTCCTTAATAAGTGCTATTAAAATTGATAGTTTAGTTGGGATGAAGTAGTTTATATGATTTGTGGCTCTTACGGTCTTGGCTGATTTGTCATTGTAGATCAAGGTTAATGGGCATGTAACTTCCAAAATGACTCCACATAGTTCAGTATGTTTTTTTTTCATGATGATAATGTTAAAAAAAAATTCATTTTAGCAGGAGATGATTAATGTGGAGAGCTTTCCTATGAGGGAGGATTGTTTGGACATGCCAGCTTTTGGGTTTAGTTATATATCAAATAATTGAAATTTATATTTTTTGAGAATTCTTATCTTGGAGGAAGAGGATTCTTGAATCTACCTTGCTCTTTTTTGGATGATTGCACCGAGAGGGAGGAGAGAATAGAGGGATAGGGTGGAGGAAAGAGCTTAAAGAATACAAATCTTATTCCTTCTCACCATGAAAAACAAATACAAGCCATGTTTATTTAAACTAAAACAATATAAAGGGGCAAAACTGTAAAATTGAAAATATTATAAAATTGAACCAAATACTAATAATCTCCACCTTGGTCCAATTTTACAAAGTATTATCAAAAAGATGGTGATTCTCATAGTAGCTCTTTTTATATCTGTTGTCCACAAAGAACAATCTAGAAAGGTCTCCACCAAATGGTCTGATTTTCCTCCACCTATTGTTCACTAAGAACAGCCCAAGAAATGCTTTCCACACCTGTTGCCTCTTCTACCTCCACTTGTTGTTCACAAAGAACAACCCAAGAAAAGGCCTCCACTAGATGGTTACATGTTTCTCCTCCATCTGTTCATTCGAAATTGTGCCTGCTGTGATGCCTTAGCTTTACATCCGATCCCACGTGAGCCTGCTTTCGTGACCCCGCTTCTGATCCCTTGAGCTCGTCTCCCACGCCTAGCTGTCCACAAAAACTCTCGTACGGATCCACCTGCAGCCTGTGTGCACACCTACGTGCGACCTAGCCCACGTGAAAGTTTCCACGTGCTCCAGCCTTCCAGTCCGCATCCCATCCTTCCGGCCCACACATGGCCACACCAGCCCTCCCCGCGCCTGGCCCGGACTCCAGCACTCATGTGCATGGCTGCCTTCAGCACGAAATATTTTGCGTGCTATGCTCCAACCTAACACTCGCATCGGTGATTATGTCTGTCGTGACCTGCGTGTCCACCGTGCTTGCTTACCCAGCGCAACATGCGTGATTCACGACTCAAGCCCGACGTCCATTGCACCCAACGCAACATGTGTGTCCCACACGATCTACTCGCTTCCTTCCGTGCACAACACTCCCAAGCTTCTGACCCAAAACTCCGTTTCTCGCTCACTCGCGCTCCAACTGGCTCCTGCATGACGCCTCCCACTAACGGTCCAATCCCGTTTAGACCTACGCCCGCACAACCCCTACGACTCCTCCGCTCTGGCTGTGACACCAGCCTTCAGCCTCGTGGCCCGATCGCGCTCAATTTTTAGTCTGATTGCAACCTGATGCCCATCTTCCGCTCCCGCAGGCCCAATCACACCTCCTTATGTTCTTTTCTTGATTGCGAGGAACTTCCTCCTTCCCCTTGATCATCTCCACTAGGCTCTGATACAAATTGTTGAGAATTCTTGTCTTGGAGGTAGAGGATTCGTGAATCTACTTTGCTCTTTCTTGGATGGCTGCACCGAGAGGGAGAGAATACAGATAGAGGGAGTGGAAGAGAGCTTACAAAATACAAATCTTATTCCTTCTCACCATGAAAAATAAATACAAGCCATTCCTATTTAAACTAAAACAACCTAAAAGAGGCAAAACAGCAAAACTAAAAATAACATAAAATTGGACCAAGTACTAATAATATTGTTTTTAATTACCAAGTAGTTGCTCCGCCCATAGGCTTAAATATTTGGGTTGAGGATGAGTTTGATCACTGGTGCAACTAACCAAACTCCCCATTTGATTTGCACTTTATAACAATAGGACTATTCATCACTCTTATATGCATCTCAACTTAGGAATGTCCATCTGCCAGTACATTAAGTTCAGCCTGAGCCGCCCATTATGCTTTTTTAATTCAATGTTATTTCGATTGTAATATTAGCGAGATAGCATTATTAACATAAGAACAGCATCTATAAAATGCTCTGCATTTGATTTACTGCTATATCACTTGACTATATAATGATATCTAAGATGAACATCATTGGTTGTAGTTCTTATTTTTGTTATTACTAATTTTAGCCTTCAAATAGTCATACTTCTACATATCTATATTGTGCTATTAGATGTCACTAAACCAACCAATCTATATTCATTAATAACATAAACAGCACATGCAAAGATTCAATTTTTAATGCAGCCAAGGCTTTAATTTCAGCAACCCAACCAGATAACTTGTTCTTTGAATTTTCAAGTAATTGGATCTTATCGCTTTTCCAGATGGAGTTCCTGCTGTTATCTGAGTTTCAAGAGTATGTTATAAAGCTGGAGGTCCTGTTAATGGCGGAGCCAATCGGGAGTCACGAAGAAGGAAGGCATGGCAACATCTCAGATGATGAGAGGTTTGATTTCTGAGCTTTGTTCAAAGTCGAAGCAAAAGCAGATTCATGGGATGAATCTGCTTTTCATTTCCCAGAATTTTTGTGGGGCTATGTTAAATTTATGGCTTTCTTACTTTTTTTTGCTGGGTCTGGTCCCCTCCCACCGTCTATGGAAGATGGTGGAATGGAAGAGGGTGGTAATGAGCTACCCATATAATTGTTGCAGTGGAAATCATGGCTTTAAAGTTTGCCATGGAGCCATGAATTCCCCCTTGGCCTTGCCCGCTACACCAATCCATCTAAAAAGATGGAGAAAGGTAGGTTTAGTGGAGTTCCTTTTGTATGTTTAAATGATTAGTATCAGTATTTTTTTTTTCTATCTTTTTTTTCCTGTTTGTTTTGGAGTTCTTTGATGTCTTCTTTCCCTTGGGAAGGGAAAGTGTCATGTTGTAAAATACTCTTTGGCTTATGAGGCTTTCTTTTTTATGTTGATATATGAACAAATATAGTATTTCTATTATTTTTTTGAGTGTATGATGTGATGAATATTTGAAATTATGGCTTCCAGTGTGGTGTAACAGATTATTTAATTACATAATCATCATTATCCTTATTCCTGGGGCATAAGAGTATAGATTAAGCTTATTATAAAAATCATAGCTTTAGTTCTTTACTTTTTGATGGAAAAAGTTATGTAAGAATATTCTGACATAAATAATGTCAAGATGGGCTTGATTGTTTTAGATTTGCATTAATGCATGAATGATATAACAAAGTTAATGCGTGATATCACATGTAAGCATTGATTTCAAGTGCAAATCTAAGATCATTCAACTCTATGCTGACATAATTTGTTTCAGGTTCTTTATGTAATTTTCTGATTTTGCTGTAATCTTTAGAGATTTTTTTTTAAATTAAAACCTATTAAGGGCCTTATAAGTTAATATAAAATTAAAATTATAAGTCTTTAAAAGGGATTTAGAGCTTTTTTAATTAAGTGGGACATATTTATGAGAGATTATTACGTGCGGAGATCGAACATAGAGAATTTTTCGGTTTTGTCCCTACTGCGGTTTTATTATTCATAGAGACAAAATCAAATAGTTTTCTGTGTTCTGTCTCCGCACATAATAATCTCTTCATATCAGGTTTAGCTTAGTGCTTTTTGGCCTCTTTTGGACAAAATACATAAAAAAAAAAAAAAATTTATGTGTATTAGTTCGTTTATTGAATTTGTGAATAAATATATGTGAAGTTTTTAGTTAATTTATAATGAAATGAATTCAATTAAATGATAAATTTAATGAATTTTAAAAGTTTACAGAATATATTCTATCTTCAAACAGTCAAATGGGATATTATTTCTCTCCAAAGCTTTCAGCAAAAATGAAAATTTGTAATTTGAACTTCTGTCTGCTGCTTCGAGAATTTTCATGAAAGATTTACTGAAACTCTGTAAATTAGGTGAAATTTCTGAAATTAGCCAGACTGAATTTTCGTCGATGAGAGCAGAAAACTCTCCATCAAAAGTTTTCCAAAACTGCTTAAGTGTGGATTTATTTTCACGCCCAGATTGAAAGCCATACTTTTTAACGAGGAGGATATTGACTAATGATTCATAAGGGAAGGAGGTGACCCAAAGCTTGATAGATTTATATGAGACTATGAGATCTCTTTTGACAAATCCATTTGCATTTTGAGCTACTTAGGATATTGTCTTCTTTTGTCAAAACCATTTTGCCACAAGTCCTATAAAGATCATTTTGTGGGCTATGATGAATGATATATATTAAACTGTAACATTGTAATTTCTCAAAGAAAAAGGCTTACCAATGCATTTTGAGCCCTTCAAAAGGTGGGCAATGGAGTTATAAGCGAAGAGAGAGAGAGAGAGAGAGAGAGAGATTCCATTATTTTTTGCAAGGTATATCGTTTCTATCATTGCATATAAATCTTGATTTTCTTCTCATTTGCATTTTGTGCATGAAATGTTTGATATGATGATGACTGGTGTGTTTCAATATATACAATAATTTTTTTTCCTCATTTTCATAAGGACCTGAAATTCAAATTACATAAAATTAAGTATTTTCATCAACATCATCTCATATACGATAATAAATCATGGTAGAGGAGCACGTGCCCGGCCGGATCTTTATGGGGAAATAATCAGCATGTCACAAAACTCGCAAACCAACACCACCAGATCATCAAGTCTCCATTTAAATAAGTGTGATGCTAGATTACTATGGTCGATACAGCGTTTGATTCTCTATATTAGGATATCTGTCATCTGCCTCCGATAATATACTATCTCCAACTAAATGAATCTTGATTGTCGCTTCAGCTCACCACTTAAATGCCAACATTGAGATAACACCTAATAACCTACATTAGGCTTTCATCAGAATATTGCCCGACTCTTTGCATCAAAGGATCAATTTATGATCACAATATCTATTTTCTATCATCAACCATCGTCAAACTTCAATCCTTTTACTGACGATTATTGAGTCTTTACTTGGGTGCTACTATTGTTATATCTCTTTAAATCATCATTTCGTACAAGAGGTGGTTGATCCTCTTTTATCATGGTTTATCTAAGGTGAGAACGATCTCTCATCGGAAGTTTTTCTACATAAGGAGTGGCACTGAAATTTGATAGGGGATGTCACCTATCCAAGATAATAGAAAGCCTTCAATGTAAGAAGATGTAGAGAAGAGAATGAGAAGAAATAGAAGATGGATTATTTCTACACAAAGAGGTGCATTGTAACTGGATAGGGGATGATGCCTATCTAAGGTAGTGAAAAAGCCTTAAATGTAAGAAGAAATGAGGAAGAAAATAATAAGGAGAAGAATTTAACTCTTCTCCTACCCCTAGGGGCCGGGGTACTTATAGGAGAAAAGAGATAGGAAAAAAAGAAGAAGAATCAGAGATCTCTCTTATATTTTGCAGTCATCATCATTGTCGACTACAACCAATTACAACCACCAACAATTTCCATCATTATCGATGTTTGACATCATAAATAATTAACATTTCTAGAATATTGTAAATCCAATTGTTGTTGATCTCTGTATTTCGTCTTCTTCAACAATGAAGAAAGGAGGATTTTTGTATCACTTATTACAAAATGAATTTTACAGCTATGCTAGACATCGTGATTAAGCTCATCTCTCATTATTATCTGATGTCGAATATTCCTATTGGCTATCATTCGACTATTGCTCTCAATCAATATATGATGTTTGTCAATAGCTAAGGCATGATTCGACATCCATTATAGGAGGGGAAAATATAACACTAATCATTGAAATGAATTGTTAAATATTTTTGAACGTCATCGAAAATTGCTTTGATCAAGCACGAATCTCAAGATGAAAAGTTTACTCATTCTATCACCACGAATCTTTCAGTCCGCAACCACAGGCGGAACCAGACTTAATTTTTATGGGGGGCAAAAGTGTAGAGATTATTTGTACTTGAATACATAATACATTTTAAAAATATAATTTACATCTTATATAATGACAATTATTCTTAAACAAAAATTAGGTTACACCTCTACACAATGTGTCGGAGGTCCAAGGGGGCGGCGCCCTCTAACGGGGTTCGATCTGCCTGGTCATATCGCAGGGTCAAGGGACAGCGCCCCTGCGGGGGTTTTCGAGTGCAGCGCCCCCGGAACAAATTTTGGTTGTAAGTATATTTTTGGATTCTCTTTACTATTTCTCTTTGTATTTGTTTCATCATTCTCTAAAAATAACACATCTATATAATGTGTTTAATTATGTTGGGGGCAATTGCCTAAATATCATAGTAATTTAAAACTTTTAGGAGGGCAATTGCCTAAAATCCTTTGTAATAACTCATCTACACAATGCGCATAATTCTTTTAAGAGGCAATCGTCTAAAGATCATAGTATTTAAATTTTTTAGCGCGCGGGGGATGGGGGGGAATATAATAAAATTTGTAGAAGGAATGAATGATAAATATTATCCAAAGGCTTTTCTCTCTCATCCTTTTTCTTCCCCTCTTTCAATTTCTTTATGGCCAAATAATTAAGTGAGGTAGTTAATGAGGTGAGGTAATATATATATATATATATATATATATATTGTGAACAGAATGAACACCATCACTTCTACTATACATATTTGTAATTAAGTGAAACGCAAAATAACATTGACTTTGACTTTACGAATAATTTTTTTAATACTTTATTTTTCAGATCATAACAATAATTTTTATTTGGCTATTACTTTTCACCACTTTCAAGAAAATTTTTACTCGAAAGTTTCTTTCTACAACAACTATAAAAAAGTTACTTTCTGCTGTAATAGTTAGGGACCCTTTCTTGCTCCTATAGAAGTGAATAGCTAAACTAATTGATCTTGTGGATTAGTAGAAGAATAGGATCTGCTTGAAGGAATTCCCAATTCAGGGACAAACAAAAAGCTCGAAGGGTTAAAAGAGAGAATAATATTCATGATATCCCTAACCTACTACAATGCTTCATATATAAGCTAGCTACAGAATATTCTAGAAAAATTAAAGAAATAGGTAGAAGAGGTATTATATTCCTAAAATTGCACTTAGTTAAGATGTTCCTACATCACTAATGTATACTGAATTATTTTTATGTTGCAACCCTCGTTCATAAAAATTACTTTCTAAAGAGTATATAATCACCTTTATAAAAAATTATAACAATCCTAAGTGGACCTTTTCTCACGCACTCCTAAAGAGTCGAATTTTAAGCAACCTTCTTAAAATTCGACTCTCTAGGAGTGCGTGAGAAAATGTCCATTTAGGATCCAATGGAATCTTAATGAGCTCAAATCAAACACTTAAATAATGATGTTTGAAAGTTTATGTGCATAAATTAATTGCCAAAATGGCTTCTAATTATTGTATACTTATAGTCAAATCGAGCGGCTAAATGAGACAAATCTTATGAGCCCAATATCAGTCTATTGTGACATTTTTTAAGCATACAAATAATTGATAAATAATCTATAATCAAGGAGATCAATATGGATCGTATAATGGAGCGCCTAGGATTTGGCCAAATTTATCAAATACCTCATTCTCTACAAGACAGAAGAAGGAGAAGAGCTAAGAGAACTAAAAAAACTATCTTATTTTTTATACCTATCATCGCCGAAGACTACACCTATCAGTCGTCGCGATCATTTATAGACTTCTATCAATGTCTCGTCTTATTATTGGTTTATAATTGTCTGTCTCTAGACATCTAAATTCTATGATCTTTATAAAAAAAAATTTCTATGATTACTCCCATCTACTACAATTATGAGGAATGAAGGATTTTTTATTACAACTAACTTTCAGTTTCTGTATTACAACTACATGCCAGTTTTCAACATGTTCTATACTTCAGTTGCAACTGTTTCTCCATATCCGAAACCTCTATCCCAACTTCATTAAAGTTTTTGGTCTCCAACACAAAAAATGTTGTCCACATTCAACTTGTTGCAGACAATTATCCTACTTGGGGCACTCA